ATTTAATCCAAGTAAGACCATTTGATCAAAGTCTAAAGAGCAGCTATGATAGATTACATTACTCAAACCAGTCTCACTACTCAACTCCAGACTAAGAGGTGAAGGAAGTAACGAGTGAATTAATAATGATGCATGAATCGTTCTTACGAACAAAAACATCAAAGTTTATAATGCACAAAAACAACATTTATTTTTATATAGGGCATAGTAAGATTACTACTCCACCATACAAGACCCTTTTTAATTAAATACGGAATGGTGAGAAAGAAATAAGACAAGTCAGAAGCAATTTGGACCAAATTAATCAAGTTAAATTTAGTCATCCCAAATCATTTTGAAGTTTTTGTAAACCAATACCACAAAAACTTTGTAACGATCGCTCTGATACCATTCTGTGGCAGAACCTCCTAAATTATAGGGCCCACATGCACCTGTCACTGTCCAACGACCTTTGACATCTATGCATATGTTCCTGGTAATTTAAGAAGACTGTCGGGTGTCCTCGGGGAACCCCGAATCATCCACGATTTCCGAGCAGGATCACATTACAGAGTCATTGCAGTATTACAACAGTTTATTCAAATAGATACATCAGAGTAAAAGTAGCGGAAGACTTATAATAACATAGTTTACAAACCATACAACTAAGTTCGATATTAATACAAACCAAAGTAGTGGAGCGGCATTATAATATAATACAAAACACACAATGAGGCTGCCCTGCCCAAGGGCCACATAATTACTTCTCATCGTCATCACAAGGTACAACTGTCATGCAGCATGATCCACAACAGATCTGCTCATGAGACTCACCTGCAACAAGGGTCAACGAACCCTGAGTACAAAAGTACTCAACAAGACTTAACCGAAATAAGGCGATAACTCAAGAATGCGTGCTCGAGGATTCAAGGTATGGTTTTAGCAATAATCAAAGTTATTTTGCGTAAAAGCTCTTTAACAAAATTCTTTATTTCAACAATTTAAACTTCATAAACTCATATACAAAGATGACACGATCCCTAATGAGATCATGAAACTTCATATCCAACACCTTCATCAACCATTCTCAAGTTCCAGTTATTAATACTACGATGATGAACAGTGAGTTGAGTCTCCATAACCGAGGAGCAACGACGATTGAACCGATTATAAACTCATTTGGGAATTCCAGACCACCACGATATATGCAGGTCCCCGACCTACATATACCAACCTACCCTCAGATCCTCTGAAACAAGAACGGGTCGGTCGCGCCACCCGAGAATCTGATACTCCACCAATCCGATTATAGCCACGTGGGTACACGCTATTCTCGCCATCTCTCCACTCCCGGTCGCGAGTAGCCATTCTCGTAATAGAATCGCCAAGTTCAGGGCTTACGGAGTATGTGGTTAGTACTACAAATTCTCACCTCATGCAATTCAACAACGGACGTGCCTTAATAAAACACACAGCGGAAAGAACCCGCTCACAAGACCTCCATGTCTTGTGGCTCACACACACCGAAGTCCGCCCGGTCTAGATTTATTACTCCACATTCCCATATCACATGCTAACATAATTAACCAATGTTCCATTTAAAACTTGCGGTAAGGTAATCACCCGACTTTCATCGTTCTCACGATAGCTAAGCAAAACTAGGCATATACGAGTTTAAAAACTGGTAATATGGTAAATATGGAATAACAAGGATGGTAATACACCAATTAGGCTCTTACTTAACTCCTAATCACTTAATACAGTAACGGAAAGCAAAAGCAAAATTAATTTATAAAACACAAGGTAGGGTTATATGCATCCGGGGCTTGCCTTCGTTGACGGAAAAGTCCGGCTCCTGCGACGTTTCACAAGTATTCGGTCCGACCTCAACAGATGGATTAACCTCCTCAACCACTTGATTAACTACCACGTGTTCACCTTCGTTTACTACACGTAATAACAATGCCATGTTTAACATGATGTGGAATATGAAACATGATGCTCGATGATGGATGCAAAATTAATAATTTGAATACAACTTTCCTTCGCGGTACAGTTGCAAGTCAAACTAGTCAAACCTTTTTCGCAACACCCAATCAATTGCCAAGTTCATTATCAACTAATGATCCAAGGTTATCACTCAATCAAAATTTCAAACAAAACCTAAATCATTAAAGGTTACTATTTGCTTTTATGAATTAATTATTTAATTCAAAATTATGAAATAAATCAACTTATTCCAATTGAGCTCAAAATTTTTGTAAATGTTCATTACATGATAACTAAGTGGCAAAACAAATTTTATAATTTTTGGATAAATAAATAAGCCTAGAAAAATCATGGAAATCCATTTATTAATAAATTGAGCAATTTTTATCATATTCAAAAATTACTGAAAAACATTATTTTATATTTTTCTTAAATACTATACATCACAGAGAAGTCACACAAAAATTTTCATAATTTTTGGAGCTCTAAATAAATCTACACAAAAATAACAAAAACAGACACTATTCATTCAAATCTGAAAATAGAAAAATCCATTTGAACGCTGAGTCACTGACAACCCGACCCCACCTGTCATCCCTAACCTCCGACGTTGATCACGGCAGCGACGGCTCTGACCGGCGATTTCTCGCCGACGGTGAGATCACCGGCGACGACCAACGTACAAAAATGATCACCAAGTCTAGGCGCACCGATTGACGTCCCTATCAGCACTGATTACGGCCCTATACTAGCTCGTCGTCGACCATGGCGGACGCGGTGGCACGGCGGCGCTACGTCGACGGTGTGCGACCGGTAGAGCTCAAACAAGGGATTCAGGAAGCACCAGAGGCTCACCCCGAACGCGTTGAAGCAAGGAGCGAGGTCGGAGAAGCAACGGAGAGGCGTGACAACGATCACGGTGATCACGGCGGAGCAAAACATCGTCGGCGATGGTGTACCGGCGACTGCAGTGATCAAAATGAGCAACCAGCTATGGATTAAGTACTACAGCATCGAGACGAAACAGAATCAGCCAAAACCAGGGACGAAGAGGCACCGTGGAGCTCTGGCCACGGCGAATCGCGCTCGGCGGAGGAGTTGCCGGCCGCGAAGAAGAAAGACGTGGACAGCGAGTTTCCGGTGGAGATAGACTGAATTGGTGGGTCGGTTGGACGCGTAAGGTTAAAGCGGAGCTGGGACAGGCTTTGCCAAGACGGCAACGGCGCTAAGTCGACGACGAGAGCTCGACGGAGCTGCGGTGGTGGCAACGGAAAAAGCAGAGGAGGAAGAAAAACGACGACGACGGCGTCTCGGTTCTTATAACGCGACTCAGAAGCTCAAGGAAGCCACGACGGAGCCGTTTCCATGCCAGCGCGACGCCAAGGACGGCCACGACGCGCCTGGAACGCCGAAGAAGGTCGCCGGCGGTGTAGTCTCGACGGTGGACACTGTTCACAGTAATTACAAGTTTGTCATTCGCCAAAATTCACAAATTACTCTCAAATTTTCATAACAACTCAAAAATCTCCAAAAACAAAAGTTGTTCAAAATCAAAAGTTCTACAACTTTGCTTTTATAACCATCTCCTAATTCGGTCTAGATTTTGAAATGAACTTTTGAATTTGAATAGGGAAATTTAACGAATTACGCCTTTTTGAATTACTCAAAATTTTTCTAAACAACTGAAAAACTCCAAAAACAAACTTTGTATAACTAGCCAAGCTCTACACTTTTGCTTTTGGGATCAACCCCAAATTATGATTAGATTTTGAAATGGATTTTCAGGGTAGGATTTAAATGCTGAAAAGCGGGGTTTTCTCGAAAAATTCAAAAATCCAAACAAACTTTGAATTTAAGTCAAACAATACAATTCAACACATACCACATGAATATAAACTTGTTTTAGTGTATGCATCTCAAAGTCTTCACCAAATGCCAAATGCTTTGCAATGCATATGATGACATGTCAGGTTTTAGTATTTTAAACACCCGAGGTGTTACAGTGGAGCTCGCGACCACGGCTGGCGGAGCCGCGGCTGGAGGAGCCATGGCTGCCGGAGCCCGCGCGCGCAACGAGCTGGACAAGATCATCTTCTCCGGCGACGAGATCCACTTCGGCTCTAACTAGACCTTCCCGGCTTCCACCCCCACCGTCTTCGCCTCCAAGCAGTCAGGCCGCCCCTACCCGCTCTCCGCCGCCGTCTTCCTCGTGCAGCACCACGACCTCATGCACACTGACTTCATCCAGGCCGCGCACCTCCGCCGTATCCCGCCCGTCTCCCTCCCCGACCTCAAGACCTTCCTCGACTTCCTCCGCTTCGGCCACAACTCGCTCCCCTCCGCCTTCCAGCCGCAGGAGCCCCATCTCCACCAGCCCTCGACGCCGCCCGAGGACCCCGCGGTCACCGAGGAGGCCACCACGGGGAAGCAAATCCGCGTGCTCGAGCGGCCCTTCAAGGACTGCAATGCGATCCTCGACGTCCGCGGCCGCGATTTCCTCGCCGTCTTCCAGGTCGCCGTGCGCCGCCAGGACGAGCAGCGCAAGGCCGGCGACGCCATCCCCTCCGGCAGCGGCCTCCCGCGCTGCCTTCCCCTCCCGCGCCGCCGTCCCCTCCGTTGGGGTCCAACCAGACCAGGTTGGGGGCAGACCCAAGTGTGGCTCAGGGGCACCGGATGTCCAAAACAAAATTTTCTCTCTCCTTAACCGGCGAAAACCGGGTCTAAGTGTCCTATAGCCTAATTTCAGCGAACCAGAGTGTCTTCTGACAAACTGCTCAAAACTGAATGTCCATCAGCAAACGACCATCACTTTGAATGTCCGCCAGACAATTTTCCCAAAATAATAATACATGAGACAACCTATGAAACTACTTGCATATACGGATATACTCATTTAAAGTTAAACATCTAATATCTCTTCGGAGACAGCTTTAGAACGAAGAAACTGCTATACACAGTATCTAAGCATTACATAGTTACGTACTACTCCGTACTATCGTTTATTGGTATCAACAAATTTTCACAATTTCACTCTAGATTTTCTGAAGAACACCGAAAAGCCAGACTGAAATTTGTTGATGTGTCGTGAGAGAAACTGATAAGCCAGACCAAGCGAAAAGGGGTATGTTCGCTCGTGGCTTGCACAGAGCTTCCAGTGGGACAGCCTTAGACATGATGGTGCCAGTGGCTGTTGCCATGTCAACTTCTGCATCCCCAATCCTGGCCCAATCGAAGCATTGGAGCAGCGCCCCCAGGACGAGCCCCATGGATCGCATTGCGAGATTCTCACCGGGGCACCTGCGCCTCCCCATCCCAAATGGCATCATAAACTTCCCCTCTGCTCTGCCGTGCTCGAACCTCTCCGGCCTGAACTCCTCCGGGTCCTTCCATGTCGCCGGATCCCTGTGGATGGCGTACGCATTGACGAGGATCATCGACCCTGCCGGGACGTCGTACCCGTGGATCTTGCAGTCGCTGGACGCCTCGTGCGGCAGTAGCATCGGCACGGCCGGGTAGAGGCGAAGCGTCTCGCTGATGATGCAATGGAGGTACGGCAGACGGGGAAGGTCGTTCTTGTCGACAAGACGACCCCCTCCGACGTTGGAGTCGATTTCTTCCTGCGCCTTTTTCAGCACATCTGAGTGGTTAAGCAGGAGCGACATTGCCCATTCCATGGTCGTTGAGGTCGTCTCCGTGCCGGCGCCGAGCAGATTCTTCAATCCAGATACGATACGAGGAAAAAAGTATTAGTGAAAGAAAGCATGATAATTAGCTGCACAGAAGCAGAATAAGGACGTGGAAACATGCGTAGTAGTGCTACTCACTGGCACGAGAGCGTTGATAAAGGTGTCCGTGTAGACATCAGGCTCTGTTTTCTGCAGTGATAGCATGACACCGATCATGCCCATCTTCTCGTCCGCCGAGTCGTTGGCATCGGCCTCGCCTTTCTTGCGTTCCAGCTGCTTCAGCTTCTGCCTCTCTGCATCGATCATCTTGTCGAAGAACAGGTTCCTTCGCTTAACCACGTCCGCGAGCTTCCTCTTGGCGCCGTACACATCGAGCCACCGCAGCAGGGGCATGTAGTCCCACAGGTTGGCCACACCAACAAGCGGGATGATCTCCTCGATGATCTCCTTCATCTCCCGCGCCTCCTTGGACATGTCCTCGTCCGCATCGTCGGAGTAGGTGTTCCTGGTCTGCGCCATGATCTCCATGAGGATGCTGTGGGAGAGGTCAAACAGCCTCCGCTTCAGCACGACCCTGGCGGCGGCGCCCGGAGCGGAGGCGGAGGCGGAGGCGCTGGCAAGGCGGCGCACCATGGCGCGGAGCTCGCCGGCGATTATGGTGTCGGACATGATGTTGACGCGGTGCGCCGAGAGGAGGTGCACGGTGGAGACGCGGCGCATGGTGCGCCAGAGCGCGCCGTAGTTGGCGACGGTGAGCACCGAGTAGTCGAAGGTGACCTCACGCGCGGATGGGAAGTGCGGGCGGTTGGCGATCTCGACGTCGACCTCTCCGGAGAAGCACTCCTTCGCCAGCGCCGCCGAGCCGATGACGACGGCGTGGCGGCGGCCGAGGAGCAGGTGGGCAACCGGGCCGTGGCGCGACACGAGGCCGGCGAGCGAGGTATGGAGCGGCTTCTTGAGCAAGGGTAGGTGGCCGAGGATGGGGAACGCGAACCGCGGGCCAGGTGGCAGCCGTTGCTGCTTCTTGCGCCTCATCAAGAGGTGGTGGAGCAAGACGAGGAGCACGGAGGTGACCACGGCGACGTAGTAGAATCTTTCCATGGTTCCTCTGTGGTGAAGCGGCGGTGATGGTGGAGCGTGCGATGAGCTGAAACTTAGGACCAACTCTAGCTGTGGGAAGTGGAAAAAAATTCTATGCAGCCTGGCTGCACTGCCCGGTGGTGCAGACCCTCCTTAATCTGTCGATATTATTATATGTTGTTCTTCTCTATTGACATTATTATATGTTGTTTTTGTGGATGGGCGTGGTCGTATCTACTCTTATTAAAGCAGTTTGCTTTGGCCGATGCTCAGGGTGTCCACGTTAGTAAATTTTATTTGCTCCGTTGGATGAAGATTAGACGATGGCCAGTGCCTTTTCTGCATATGTACGGTGCTAGTTGGCTCCATAAAAAGATCTCCCTCGCCCCTCCCTCCTGACGTCGCCTTTCCTCTCTCTCCCTGCCGCCTCTCTCTCTCTCTCCTCCCTCTCTCTCTAGACGTAGCGGGACAGCCACGCATCCTCAAGGGCGCAGGCGCGGGTCGCCGCCACCCCCGCATGCCGCCGTCGCGCTGCCGCCCCGGGTGCCCGCCCGTCCGCACGGGCGTCGCCGGCCGCCTCCGATGCTGGCCCTTCCACGGATGGCCTGGCCACTGCCCTCTGCTGCCCGGCCGCTGCGCAGGTTAAGGTTCGCTCTCTCTCTTGTTCCCCCTCCCCTTCCCTCGCCGACGCCGGGGACGGACGTCGATGTAGGCTTGTTGGCTCTGTCTGAAGCAAGGGATAGTTTTGGGCATCCTGATGAAGATGATTGGGACAATGCAAAGAAGATGGCACAATTTCTACAACATTTCCATGACCTTACTGTTCGTATCTCTTCTTCTCTCCAAGTCACTTGCAACACTTTCTTTCATGAGATTGGAGAAGTCCATCTGTTGATTCAAGAATGGCTGAACAGTGAAGATAATTTGCAAGTATCAATGGGGATGAGAATGAAAGAGAAATTTGATAAATACTGGGGACTTTAGCACACCAACAACAAGGACAGCAGCAACAAGAGCAAGATAGGGATAAAGGGAGGAGCAAGGGTAGGGGGAAGGAGAAGGACAAGGACAAGTAGAACATCAATTTATTCATATTTGTGGCTGCATTCCTTGATCCAAGGTACAAGTTATCTTTGTACACAAAGATTAGCGTTGAAGAGATATTTGGTGAGGAAAGATGTCAATTGGTTTGGGTAGCAATTAATACTTGTGTGAGAGAGCTGTTTGAAGAATACAGGAACATGTATGCTCCAAGTGAAGAAACAACTCAAGTAATTGATGCTGGTCAATCTAAGGGAGGTGCAGGAGGAATTCTTAAACAAAAAATCGCCAAGAGGATGAAACTGAGCAATTGTTCTACCAGCACCAATAAATCTGAACTTGAGAAATATATTGCTGAAGAAACTGAAGACACAGAAAATAAAATGGACATTCTTGGTTGGTGGGAAGTCAATTCAAATAGGTTTCCAGTTTTGAGTCACATGGCTCGTGATGTGCTTGCTATACCCATCACAATAGTAGCGTCAGAGTCCGCTTTTAGCACAGGTGGACGTATCTTGGATGACTTCCGTACCTCTCTTACTCCATTCATGCTAGAGGCTTTAGTATGCACGCGGGATTGGCTTCGAAGGCCTACTGTTGACATAAAGGAGAGTACGGAGGAATTGGCCATAATAGAAAAAGGTATCATATTTCCTTACTTGCTTGCATTTGTGTATTTACTGTATGTAATATGAAATATGTAACTGTGTTGTGCATTTACAGAGTGGATAGAAGAATATGGCGGCAAAGGGAAAAAGAATGAGCAGCCTTCTGTCGACACCTCCAAGTCACAAACACCAAGCAGCAACAATCAGGCCTCGACTCCCTCCAAAACTTAAAGGTATATATGTCAAGTATGAATGGAGTATTCAGTATTCTTTACCCGAATTTCTCAAAACGCGAACTACCCAACCCGAATTATTCGGGTAACCCGAACGCCGAGAGTTACTTATCAGCCGGCTTATCAGCTAGAATCTACAGCATTTTTCTCTCACAACAAAACAGCTTCAGCCGGCTTATGTATCAGCCGAATAGAGCTATGAGTCAGAACCCGGAAGCTTTGACACCTCTCAGAAAGGAAGCAACCGCAGAGCGGGAGAAAGCGAACCGGGATTCCAATTCACTCTTGCCTCTTGGAAGGGTCAACAGTAGTCTCCAGAAACAGTCGTACTAGAATTTTTCGCAGGTCTTTACTTTCTGTGCGGGGACGCCGCAACCGCAAGGAAACTCCTGGGCGCCTTCTTGCTGTCCCGTTAGACTGTCTCCAATAGATGACCCATATGAGCACCCAAACCCAAAATAAGTAGTAGGACATCTAAAATCAACCTCCAACAGAGTACCTACACGTTGAATGGGTCTTGTATTTTGGGTGGTGGTGTTGGTGATAGTCTTACCAACTTTCCTTCTTTTAAGCAAGATATAAGAAGTACAGACTCTATAAAAAAGTGATACTGTGTATAGCAGTTACCAATGTACTTGTCCTTAGAGATCCCATTTAAAGTTAAACATCATCACTCGTTTGGCTTATAAGCCGTACTTTTTCAGTCAACGAACAATATTTTTCTCGAACAATAAATGAGCCAACGGTATTTTTAATCATGACTTATCAGCTAAACGAACAGGGCCGTATCTTTTGACTGTTATGCTTTTTTTTAAAAAAAAAAGTGCTGTAATGCTTTCGTAGCCTACTACGCACGCCTAATCGCCAGCACTGTCGTTAGGCATTGGTCCACGGCGCCAGGTACGGGAAGACTCGACAATGTCCTGGTCCTGGGACTGGGAGAAAACAAAGAAAATGCAGTACAGAGCAAGGAATGCTCCTACAGTTCTTCCTAGACATCCAATCTCAAATGCTCAACAACTCCACGAATGAAGGATTAATGGAGAACCAAAACTAGGCCCTGTTTAGTTTGCCTCCAAATTCCAAGTTTTTTCGCTCTTTCTCCATCACATTAATTTTTTAACATATGCATGGAGTATTAAATATAGGTAAAAAAAATAACTAATTATATAGTTTGGTTGTAAATCACGAGACGGATCTTTTGAGCCTAGTTAGTCCGTTCAAAATTTGTCAAATATAAACAAAACGTGCTACAGTATTCAAATTGCAAAAATTTGCAATCTAAAACAGACCCTATCCGTGCTGAGCAGGACGGCAAACAGCAGCAGCAGCGGAGACGGCAGAAGTACGCTGTACGCGATGGCTGGAATTTCACAATCTGACGAGACCATCCAACATTCTAACCTGCTACGATCTGTTGTCATGATGGATTGATGGGACTTGGTAGGAGAACCGGCTCCAATCAGATGAGACCCACCCCATATTGACTGGTTTGACCTATGATAAGTAGGCCTCTAGGCTCTGGTAAGGGCGTCCTCAACGGGTAAGGTCCTGTTTAGATTGTAGCCTAAAATCCAAAAATTTTCAAGATTTTTCGTCACATCAAATCTTGTGACATATATATAGAGTATTAAATGTAGGTAAAAAGAATAACTAATTGTACAGTTTGTCCATAATTAATGAGACGAATCTTTTAAGTCTAAATAGTCCATAATTAAATAATTTTTACCAAATACAAATGAAAGTGCTACAATAATAAAAAAAGCTAAAAATTTTCGCATGTAAACGGGCCCTAAAATCATATCGCCAATGATGTGGAGATTGAAAATAATAAAGAATAGGAAAAGTATATTACGTCTGTACCTAGAGCAGAGGGGCTGAGAGAGGGAGACTTCTTGGTGTCCGTGCGAGACAGGCGAGATGAGAAGCGCTAGCTCGGTGCTCTCTTTCATCAGCAGCCAATGAAATCTCTCCGCTGCTGGCGATTTAGTGTCGGTTTCCTCAAAATTTTGTAAATTTTTTTAAGGTTCTCTGTCATATCGAATTTTTAGACACATGCATAAAACATTAAATATAAATAAAAAATAAAATTAATTATATAGTTTAAACGAAATTCACGAGACAAATCTTTTAAGCCTAATTAGATTATGATGTGACACTAATTACTAAATAATAACGAAAGTGCTACCGTATCATTTTTCAAAAAATTTCGCCAACTAAACGTGCCGTTGGGGACGCCTAAAGGAGGATGTCAAATCAAATCCTCAGCAAAACACAAGAGACCCGGATATTGAGGATTCCTGGATGTAAACTCGAATTCACGTGGAAAATCCACCAGGTCCTGAAAACAAAACAAGGCACGGCTGGCCAGGGACAGACAGGCAGCTCCCAACCCAAATGCTCGTCCCCGTTTCCACGACACCAAGTTAGAACAGCCGCGCTCGATCGGAAGCCGCACGAGCACGAGGCGAGGGCCCCCTGACGGCGCGATGCCGCCGGCGCGGCCGGACCCTGAGCCGCCGCCCATCCACCGCCTGCTAGAGCTGATCAAGTCCGAGCCCGACCCAGCCAACGCGCTGTCCCACCTCGAGCTCCTTGTCTCCACCCGCCCTGCATTCCCTCCGCCGCAGCCGCTCATCTTCCACCTCCTCCGCCGCCTCGCCACCTCCTCCCCGTCGCACCTCCCGAGGCTGCTGGGTCTCCTCCCGCGCATGCGCCATCGACCGCGCTTCTCCGAGTCCGCGGCGCTCGTTGTTCTGTCGGCCTTCTCCCGCGCCCTCATGCCCGACGCGGCCCTCGCCGCGTTCCGCGATCTCCCCTCCCTCCTCGGCTGCAACCCCGGCGTCCGCTCCCATAACGCCCTCCTTGACGCGTTTGTCCGCGCTCGTCGGTACTCCGACGCTGACGCGTTCTTCGCCTCCCTCTCCCACGGTGCCTTCGGCCGCCGCCTCGCCCCTAACCTCCAGACCTACAACATCATCCTCCGCTCTCTTTGTGCCCGCGGGGACGTCGATCGCGCAGTGTCGCTCTTCAGTTCTTTGCGTCGTCGTGGAGTGGCCCCCGACAGAGTAACCTACTCTACCCTCATGTCGGGGCTGGCGAAACATGACCAGTTGGACAACGCACTTGACCTGCTCGACGAAATGCCGAACTATGGAGTGCAGGCTGATGCCGTTTGTTACAATGCGTTGCTTAGTGGGTGTTTCAAAACTGCCATGTTCGAGAAAGCCATGAGGGTCTGGGAGCAACTGGTGAGGGATCCTGGTGCAAGTCCTAACCTTGCCACTTACAAAGTGATGCTTGATGGCCTGTGTAAGCTTGGGAGGTTTAAGGAGGCGGGGGAGGTATGGAGTAGGATGATGGCTAATAATCACCAACCAGATACTGTTACTTATGGGATCTTGATTCATGGGCTGTGCCGATCTGGGGATGTGGATTCTGCAGCACGGGTCTACTCAGACATGGTCAAGGCTGGCCTTGTTCTTGATGTTGCTGTGTATAATTCACTCATTAAGGGGTTATGTGAAGCGGGAAGAACAGGTGAGGCTTGGAAATTCTGGGATTCCACAGGTTTCTCTGGCATTCGTCAAATAACAACTTATAATATAATGATGAAGGGGCTGTTGGACAGTGGAATGGTCAGTGAAGCTACAGAGTTGTTGAAACAATTGGAGAATGGTGCTTCATGCTCCCCTGACAAGGTGACTTTTGGCACTCTGATCCATGGTCTGTGTGAGAATGGCTATGCTAACAGGGCATTTGAAATCTTGGAGGACGCACGGAATAGTGGGGAAGAATTAGATGTGTTCTCATACTCATCAATGATAAATAGATTTTGTAAGGATGGAAGAACACATGATGCAAATGAGGTATATAAGAATATGGTGAAGGATGGTTGCAAACCAAATTCTCATGTTTACAATGCACTAATAAATGGTTTCTGCCGAGCATGCAAGATTAATGATGCTGTTAAAATTTACATTGAAATGACCGGCAATGGTTGTTGCCCAACCATCATAACATATAACACACTAATAGATGGTTTGTGTAAGGCTGAAAAATATCAAGAAGCTTCAAGCTTAACAAAGGAAATGCTAGAGAG